ATCACACTTTCCATTAGAACAGGATGGAAACAAAGAATTTAAATATGGTGGAAATTAACATTGCCCCCAGATTGCCCCCAGGCATGTATACCTTGCTAATGCAAAGAAATATTATTATGTCTACAGTCTAATGTAACCAGTCCAATCATGGCACAGACCAAGGAGTATTTCTAGGTTTTTAAGGATGATGACATGATTCCTACAATTAGGAGTGTCATAAATCATAACAAGTTATATTTTCTGTATTTTATTGGAAATAACACCGGTACAATAAACGTGAACAAAACCTGCATGTGTCAGATCTTGCATTATGAAAAATAACAAAAGATAGAACATGAAGGGGCATAAAACAACTGTGCATGATTAGGATAGTTAATGAGATTATGTGCCTTGAAACACGTGACCAAAAGCACGTGCAAGAAACACAAGGGAAGCACCACATCAACCACAGTTAAACCATGCAGATGATGTCAAAATAGTAAATTCAAAAAGCACAACGCACAAATAGCCTTTTATACAGACCCTTCAACAAGCAAGAGAGCAAGACAAGGCTAAATTGACAGAAACGTTGCCCTAATCACAGAAGAACATTCATCACATCCTTATAAGCAGACAGAAGAAGTTTAGGAGAGATCCTAGCATCCAAAAAGGATTCAGCTAAACATTAGATGTGCCACCTAATGTGTCCAAAAGCTAAATCGTGGCATAGACTATGCCGTACAACCTTATAAAAAACCAGGTTAAGCCTGAGTTAAAGGTACACAAAAGAATCCTGCAAATTATGTTCCTCTCTTTCAGAACCATTACTGACTTAGGCATTGAAGTGCCTCCGACCGGCCTACCATTGGTCTCTGGCAATTTGCTCATTTTGTAGGACCAACGGTAGTGCAATCCTTGCTCACCTTCCAAATAAAAAACAAATCAAAAAATCTTGAAGGTAAGTGATTTTTTTGCTTCTTATAGAAGTTATGCCAAATCCCCCCAAACCACAATATCAGACTGAACAGCAACCCGAAATGCCTAGCGAAAGAAGTCCCCAGAAAATTGATTGATAAATAAATAAATTGTGCCTTTCTAATTCATAAGGTCAAAACATCAACATAAATCACATAACATCCTCAGAAATGTTCGTGACATTGCAATTGCAAACTAGAAAAGGTTGTAAAATTAAATAACTCTTCCCAAGCCAAGAGAGGAACTGCATTGTGATTTAAAATACTCTCAATATTACTTCACCATGATTAAATTTCCCACTTTAATATAGTGAATGAATTTTCGATTCGAACAAGATGTTATGCCATGCAAAGGTTCTGTGGAGAATTGACATCTGAGGGTCACGCACAATGAGCACTTTGAATCCATGTAGTTGAGAACCCTCCCAACCCAAGCAAATGACACAATTATCGGGGGTGTACTCTACCACGGAGCTAACAGCCCATTGTACCAGCATGTCTCATTGGAGGCCTGTTATGCCAAAAGCAAGAGAAACCCCACCCCCCCTTTTTCCTTTTCCCGTCCCATGTTGCCATCCAGGGGACATGAGTACATGAAAAAGGGGATCCTATCAACTTTTCCTGGTCTATGATAATAAGCTCATGCGTTTGGTCACTTTATCACCAACAAACAAAATAAGACTCTCATCTCCAAGTTAAACTTATATAGAGCATTATCTCCATGTTAAACTTATATAGAGCATCCACCTTTTTGCATGAAGCAGTGTCGAACCAATATAACCAACAAGCAGTAACTCCCCCTCGGAAAAGGAGGTGATACAGCTGCACCTTCCAGTACAGACACCTTGTTATCACTCCAGATCCTGCACTACTGCTAAAACAGTATTTCTTCTTCTACTACTACAACTACTACTAGTAGCAGTCGTAGTAGTAGTACTGTACTCAAAACAAGAGGAAGACTGATGCAATATATCCTATAATTGGAAGAAGAATGCATACCTTCAAAGGTCGTAACACTCCTGTGACGTATGGTGAATGTCTGATAGGGAGAGGTTTATTAGTCATCCTGTACGTTGCAGTTATTCCTTTCAGTTGTCTCAAGTCCTACATCAATTTTAAACAATATGAATTAATTACAAGCATCAAGTTGAACATAAAATCTGGCACCACATCTCCACTTAGATTCACCCATTCAACATTGCATAGCAAACTCAAAGAAAAACTATGATTAGATATATAGCTTACCTCCACAGACTTCTCAACTAGTGTTTCTACTATTGAGTTCATCACTTGAGGTACAAGCTCCTTTAAAGATTTTCCACCCTGTAAAATGCTCTGTTTTACAAGATCAAGTATTTCGGCAGAGCATGACTTGAGAAGCTCAAGTACTTGTCCCAGGTAATCACCACAAATCTCCATCACCAGACAATCTAAATCATGAATCACCTGCAAAAGAAAATTTCATGTAAATTAAGCATGGTTACCTATTGCATAGGGTATAATGGCATCAATAAGATGTAGTCTATACATCATAAGTCGCACACATAAAAACATGAAGCTCAAGCTTCTCAAATTGTTAACAAGTTTCTCTAACTAGAATTCAGGAGGAGTAAGTGAAAAAAAATATGGATGTGAAAAATGGAAGAAAAAAATTGTAATTGAGAAAAGTAATGGACTTAAAGAAATCACAGACATAAGGTAACTGCCCTGGGGTCTTCAGTGTGAATCCAGATCTTTCATATTTAGCCAACCTACTTTTGCTTGTTATAAAGTACATCACACCAGAGATGCCAAAGAAATATTGTAAATGTAACAGCATTCTTGCTTTTGAAAGCCTTGGCTTTTACCATTGTACCACGCCACGACACTTATAGAGTAGAACACCAAACTATATATACTTTTACTACAAGATAAGAATCCACTTAATTTCCATGCTCATATACCGTAAAGACCAGTAATATCAGTAATATCTCCATGCAGAGACTTAATGAAGAACAAAATGCAAATCAGATAATTTTTCCTTCTTAATTGGCTATTTCACATAAGCAAGACGATATATCAAACATCCTATATAAAGGTTATTTGAATAAGTGATTGTTTATATGTTATACTACTCAAAAGTAAAATTTAAATGCAAATTCTTCAATCCCCAACAGAAAGATTAGCTGCAGAGTACATAACATAGGCATCAAGGCTTCTTTTGCAATTCCATTGACAGATTGCATCATTAGCCCAAAGAAAACAGATAGTTTGCTTGGTTCAGGTTCAACATGTGCTTACCACATCCATGTTCTGCCGGCAAATACATCCTAAGAGATATCCTTGGACATTTTAAAACATCAAATAGCATATGCCAGGACCTGAGTCTTTCTAGGTAGTTCTGGTTAGGATGCCCAAAAACTAGGTCAGTAAGTCGGTATTGTCATGCAGTAACTATTTCTATTATAGTTCAAACAGATTTCATTTTCCACGATGATCATTATCACAGAAAATCTTCTCCCCGTCAATTAGATTTCAGAGATGGAAAACCAGGGGCATGTCCCTCCCTAAAGAGAACTTACCAAGAAAAAATTGAATAAGATATTCCTCATCATTGAAACCCCTCCCCCCCACCCCAAAAAAAAAAAAAAAAAAACAACCACAAAATGTGTACCCTGGAAAGAGCAAATAGCAAAAAACCGATCATAGAAAAAAATTGTTCCAGAGAAGAAAGTACGATATACTGATATTAACAAATGATGCATACATACATATATGAGATCATCTGGTAGAGCAGAAATAGCCCATTCAGACCCAGTGCTCGAGCCAGCATTACCTTACCAGTTTACGAGCAGCCAGTCCAGCTGACAACCAATTTGAGTATCTATAAGGATTATGCAATCAAATAATTCGAAGGTCAGCAAATTAGTTCTAATATATAGGAAAGTTCAAATTTTCTCATTCCAAAATTCACACTGACCTAGAAAGGAGCTGCAAAGATAAGCGAAGAAACTTGTCAGAGCAAGAAAGAACAAGAACATCCTCTCTCCAGCAGGATCTCAAGCACTCTAAAAGAGAGACACTTTGCTTTAACTTTAAATGTTGAGAATTTTGTTGGTAAGAATTTGAGTTCTGAACTGGCATAAGACTAGCAACCACAAGTGCAGAATCCAAAGCCCTGGCAATCTCCTGAAACCTGAGGCTACAAATTTATATCAGTTGCTCATGACATTGCTTTATGTTCTTATTGGTTTTTTTACCCTCTCTTTTTCTTTTTTGATTTTGTGAGGGTGGGGTGAGGGTGAGGGTGAGGGGAACGGGAGGATAAGCAGGACATAGAAATAAATTGATTTTTTCTATTCTGACAGACTAGCAATTGTCTAATAATACTGAGTACCTCAATGAGAAATAGACCCCAACATTCCACTGCTTCATAAAATCAATATAGACTGCCTCCGCTCGAAATTTCACAACCGCAGATCTGGATGGGCAGTAACCTTGCATAACCATTGGATGTTATAACCCAAATAAAAAAGTTATATGCATATACAATGTATTTTAACCGCCATAATTGGAAATAGAGATACAACAGAAGTCTTTCTACTACCTTCTAAATGAGTCAAGAAATCCAGGCTTGATATATAATTTTTTAGAAACTCTGTAGGTCTTCCAGGAGAAAAGGCCCCTGGTTTTTCCCTTTGGATTGCCGAGAGAACCTCTTTAAGGATTGAGTTAGCCAGGAAGCAAAATACATGCAAACCTGAATTTTCTGCACGCCATGTCAAACACTGCACGTGGTTAATAAACATAAAATAAAAAATTTGTTGTTTCCTATCCTTTTTTGCTGCCAGCTTTGAAACATAAGAAACTAGCAAGAAAGCGCAGGCATACAGCACACCTTTTATTATTTCAGAATATGAAATGCAAGTCTATTTTCTTCATATTGATCAATTACTCAAAATGAAAGCGAGATTGAAGAACATCATGCAGATTAAAAACAGGATGACCAAAGAAGTAAAAAGGATTGGAGAAGGATATGTGAAGATAGAAAGAATTTCTGGTTCAGCATCCAAATAGACCCCAGTCAAATAAAAGGTATTAAAGAAATAAAATGCTCATATCTGAGGCAGTCATATCAGAAACGAAAATGGAAAAGCAAGAGATTGTTGAATCAAAATTCATGAACCCAGCAACAAAGGTTAATGATTATACCTGTAGAAGAAATTTCCAACAAAAATTTACAATCTTTTTCAACAAATTGCTTGACTTGTTTATAATCCTCCTCAAGTGCATCTCCAGATGCCCCACCAGTGACCCCCAATGAATTGTTTGGAATAATTTTCTGTATCAACGGTGCCACAACATTTGTACGAAAAATTTCTTCAGCGCTCTTGGTATTATCAATCGCTGCATATGCACGTAAGCAATTGTATATTGCAATTGAATCCCGATGTTCCAGGCCATCTACAAAACAGCATCCCAAGCTTGTGTGCAACAATGCACTAGCACTCTGTATCCTCTTCTCCATGTTCCCAATGAAGGGCAGATTCTGTACTGCCATAATAGAGAAAAGACTTTGCATAAGTTATTAACACCATTATTTAGAATCCACTGATTCTTCACAATGGAATTTAATCTATAGAAACTAGGTGGATGCAGATCCTCAATAGAGCATTAACACGTACCAGAGGAAATTAACCAATTCAAAAACAATAAAATATTACACAAACATAATTCCACCATATCCTCAGGATAGAGGAATTGAGAATTTCAAACACATTTGAGATAGCACATCTGATGAAAAGGTATTGACTGTTCTTCCATGCATGCGTTGCAATAGCTCAAGCAAAGATAGCTACTTGTTTGTAAGGAATGTCTAGGTTATTGCCCTAAATGTTGCATAACTACCAGTATGATGAGACTCATACGCAAGCTGAAAATGCATTAGATACATAGGGAGAGAAAAATAAAAGAAAAGGTCACAAGAGGACAGCTATTATACCACAAAAATTATAGCTATCTGGCAGCACAGTGATTTGGGCTAGGGAAGAAAGATGTAATTGCATTAGCATTATTATATGTGTGTAAGAAGGTTATCATAATTGTCAGCTTCTTTGACAAAAAGGTAATTTTTCTTTTTTATACTAAGGGAAAGGGTGACCTAGGGATCTATGTAGCTCAGCAGCCTCAGCTCCTGTTTATCCACATAATATACTCACGTAGACAAGAATATTTGATTGATTATTGATACATTGATTAAATAATCGGAGTTTATACTCGATATTTCATACTTCAATGCGCTGGTACCACTGAGATATGAAGTTTAAAAATTCGCATTTGTTTCGAAGTATTTCATGTGGCCCAAACCCACTTCAAATTCTATATTGTCAACTCAGCAGTGTTTCAAATCCTCCTTGCTATTTCTCTTAGATTGGACTACAGCTATATATATAATCTATCATAAATGTTAAATGAATTGTGAAAACTAAGAACTAGCACCTATTTGCTCAGCAGGACATTTCACCTTGGCAATCATAGGTTATATTAGAGGCAACCAAGTGATGCTCTGGACCAACACTAAACTTTAATCTTTCAGGGGAAAAAACTTACAAGTTGCAGTAACAGATCTCCAAAAACAAGCAATAGTAGTTTAATGTTACCATAATCACAAATCCTAGGACAAGTCCAACAATCAAGAATGACTTAACAAAAGGATGAGAGCATGATAAGACCTGCGCATGGGAAATGTAGAAGTTGAGCCTGTTCATTTCGGTGGCAATTCTCTCCAAAAGCATGCTTTGAGTCTCCCTGAGACTTGTTCCATTTTCAGCATGTTGTAAGGAGATACCATTGCTTAAATGACCATTTTCTGTATAATTCACATCTCCATTGGACCAATCGGCAGGCAAACTAGGCAGCTCTGTTATCAGTTTCTCAACCTTCACTCAGAAGAATCAAAACTTCATTTCAACAATATGCACAAATCATTGGGAACCAACCAGACCAATTAATTTTGTTTCCCTTTTCTTCTATCACTAACAATACTCTATATCTGCTTCAAAAAGCTTGGAAATGCAAATGAATGACCATACCCAAAGAACATATTTAGGTGTTAAGATATTCCACACATAATTGGGACGCATAAGATAAAACCTTCCCACTCTAGATGGCACCTCTTTAGGCTTCCACAACAAAAGAATTTTCGAAGGAATTCCGCTCTTTTCGATTACGGATCATTGTTGTTTTTTGCTTTTAGCTTCTTAATCTTATTTTCAATTTTGTATTATCTACCGGACCCCCTTTTTCTCATGTACTCTTCAAACTTTTATCATTCATTTTATTCTTGTTTCCTTGAAAACAATATACATAAAGACCATCAGAAAAAATATGCAACCATGGCCAGAGCCATGTTATGGCCAAGGGAGCCACGCCCCCCCCCCCCCCCCTCTTTCAAGTTTCAAAAATCATGTTTACACCACTTGAAATTATATTCGCCTCCTCCTTAAGTTAAGTTTTTTTATTTTTATATGACCCTCTCAAGTTTTAAAATTATACTTTATATTCTTAAAAATTATGATTTTGGTTTCCTTGTTTCTGTCAATTATTGATTGAACATGTTATACCATTAACCATTTAGAATATTGTTGTGGATTTTTTTTTTTCAATTTAACGAGTTGTGCAAAATTAAATTTAAAAATTTGTATAAAATATCACACATTTGAACGATTTGTGGTGCAATATATCTAAATCAATCCTAAATGGATGGGGTGAAATAAAGGCCATAGTTTATGGGAACAAAATATCATTCACCAGAACCTAAATACAAAGGGTTCAAATCCGTATAAAACAACTTTTTGAAAGACCTGCACACTCTTTGTTTCCTTTTGTGCTGCTTTTCGTAATTTGCAAAGACATGATAAATTTTAGTTGTTCTCAAATGATTATGCAATAAAATTGACTTAAATTATTGATTGTTTCACGAATTAATCTAAAGTGTTCTACAACTAATTCACTCAGCAACCTTGAATCAAATTTCTCTATTTACTAAGAATAAATAATATTATGATGGATCATGTAAAAAAATGATTTTGATATATTTTACTCAACTAAAAATTTAACATTAGTTGTTGCTTAGTGAATGACCCCCCATTGAAGACAAATGTCCAGTTACATCACTATTTGGGCCTCTAAGAAAATAATCCTCGCTTCATCCCTAGATGTGACCCTCCATTTGATTGGAAAGAAAACAAAGTAAAACACATGGTAATTCTAAATTTATGCTTTTTCTTTTCTTTTCAGAAAGCTAGAACAAGGTTTGCATTGAAACAATGAAGAATTTAAGATCCAAAATTCTACTTCATTTGCACCTCCTACAATTTGGTAGGGCCAAGATTTCAACTCCTCTTTGCCAACACATCCTCAGCAACCAAATGAAGCAATATTTCATATCCTTCAAAAGGGTATGAAGTGTCTTTTTGTTTGCATAGAAAAAAGACCAAGTATACAATTAACACAGAATATTTAGTCGACCAAGATACTTTCAGTACATAATTGTGTACAACTAAGTTATTGAAAGTTCCCATTTGTTAGCTTCAAGTTATGGTAATTCAAAGATCCCAAAAAGAAATTTGGTTTCTGATCCTGCATCATCCCACCAAGCAAAAGGGCTAGATGCTTCTGGGTATTCAAGGGATGTTAACTAGTATTCTCTTCATAATCTGAGGATTCTAAGTTAATTTCAAAGTAAAATATTGAAGGTGTAGGATCAATTTCTTTTATCAAAAAGGAAAATTTTGAATACAAATATTAGTTACATAAAATGCAATCCTACATTCTTGAAGGTGTAGTATCATTCCAACTGTACCATGCTCATAGTACTTTTTTGAAAAACGAAAAAATTGAATACAAATATTTTTTTTTCGGAAAGTGAATACAAACATAAGTTACATTAAGTACCATCCTACATTTCCTCAAGAATTGTACCCCGGCCATATAGTAAATCTCCAAGTAGATTATCCCCGTTTCCATTTAAAATGCGTAAAATGTCTAAGCTCCCAAAATTCAAATATGTGTTATTTTCCTAAATTTTCTGAGCAGACAGAGAGTAAAATAGACTAAATCTATAAAGAAGTTCTCCATTTCCTCCAATGCCACTCCAATATCAGAAATCTCAACTTCTTCTCACTTTTGCAATTACCAAACTCAAAATCACCACCCCAAAATACCAACATTATATGCAGTTAAAATCCTCTCAGAAAAAACTAGGATACACTTCAAATCCGAAAAATCTGTACTCTTACCTTTGACACAACATGAAAGGTATCGAGCAAAAGCTCCAACACCTCCCTCGCGGCCGAAGCCTCCGCCCTTTGTTTCAACCCACTCTGCAACGCCATTAAAGATCCCTCCACTGTCCCACGGAACACCAAGATCTTTTCTCTGATCTCATTCAATGGGGCCCGCATCCGAACAATGGCCGAATCGACATCCACGAGCTTGGTGCTCAAATTGACGAAGTCGGCGTAGTCGCGATTGATGAGCTCGATTAACTCGTGCTTGAGGGAAGAAAGGTGGGAGTTAAGCTCGGATCGGAGGGTTTCGAATGGGACAAACGTTCGGAGGTCGGAGATGTAGGCGTTAGAGTCGAAGTTTGGATCGAGGAATGAGGACTGCTTGAACCATAAGGGATGGGAATCGATCGGGTCACCGAAGAGATCCGTGGTGGAGCGCGGTGGCGTTGGTGGCGGTGGAGGAGGTGGATGTGATGGGGGAGATTGTAGATCTGCCATTAGGTGCTTAGTGTCGTTGGATCAACAATTTTGACTTCTCGTAAAAAAGCGCCTTCCCTGAACTCGCATTCACATGGAGTAGAAAGGCATGTGGGTTTTAGGTGCGTGATTGTTAACGAGGGGCCATGGAAGAAAGTGGGTTTAGCATTGGACAGAGGAGTAGAAGCCTACCGGGCTAGGGGCAAAAGAGAGTTACAGAGGAGGACGAAAAAGATCCCGGAGGAGTTTACTCAACTTAGGACGAATTGCACTACAGAAAGATTTAAGAAATTTTAGTTTATCTATACTACTTTAGAAGGGTTAATTGCATTAGAAGTGTTTAAAATATAGATTTTATTTTATTTTAGTTTTTAATGTTTTAATTGTATTATTTTGATTATTGAAATATTAAATATATTTTTATTTGACCTTTAAAACAGATAACATTCAAATTATTAGTCATCTTTTATTATAGACATATCAAGTGATATCTAATATGGACAAAAAATAATTTAGGTAACTCTCGACAAAAAATTAGATAATTATTAACCAAAAATGTGCAATATGGATAGCTTTTAATTAAAATTTGAATACCTCATAATCAAAATTGTATAATTTAGATAACTATTTGACTAAAATTTAGATAGAAATTGGATTAATTACAAGTTGTACCCCGAAAGATAGTTCGAATCTCAATTTACACCCCCAAAGATCAAAAATTTCAATTTACACTCTCAATAATAAAAATTTGTATCAATATGCACCTCTAAAAATCAAAAATCTCAATTTACACCCTCAAAGATAGAAATTTGTATCAATGTGCATCTAAAACTAAATAGATAAATTATACTTAAATCCTCTCATGCTTGTCACTTAATCATTTGGACCCCTTCACATTTAGAATATTATTCCTACATCTCATCGCGTTTGTACACATGTTACACGTAACCTTTTTTCATTGATATATGTTAATATAACCATTAAAAAATATGATTTTATTTTAATAAAAAATTATAATTTCATATTACCCTTTATTTTGTAGGTCCGATATATTTTAAAATTCAAAATTAAGCTTACCATTTGAATGTCTAATAGAATGTAGATATTTATATAATATTTTTTATATCCAATGCAATATATCACTCAATGTGCAACCATTTATTCTATTAGACATTCAAATGGTAAGCTTGATTTTGAATTTCATAGTATATTGGACAAATTTCTATTTTTGAGGGTGCAAATTGAGATGTTTTATCGTTGGGGGTGCATATTGATACAAATTTCTATCTTTGAAGGTACAAATTGAGATATTTGATCTTTGGGGGTGCACATTGATACAAATTTTTATTTTTGAGGGTGTAAATTGAGATTTTTGATCTTTGAGGGTGTAAATTGAGATTCGAATGATCTTTCAGGGTGTAACTTGCAATTAACCCATAAAAATTTGGTTAAAAGTTATCTAAATTATTTTTTTTATCTATATTTAGTTATTACATGAAAAATTTATAATAAAAACTTATTAGCAATCTAGACATTATCTGCTTAAGAGACCACATAGAATTATATTTAATACTTTAAGAACTAAAATAATACAATTGAAATATTAAAGACTAAAATTAGACAAATATCATATTTTGGGTCCCTCAATGCAATTAACCCTAAAATATAATATAGATGGAATGTTTTTATTTGACTATAATAACTCTTATAAAATAACTAGTCATTGACCATGCCTAAAGACACTATATAACATATAAAAAAATCGGAAGTAATAGTCCAAATTGAAAGAGAAAATGACCCAAAAATATTTATATCAAATTTTTTAAAATGACCCAAAATATACTGTCAAGTATATCCTCCATATTAATAGAACTATCACAAGAATGTATAAAACAATTCCCCAAAACAACATCACATGTATCAAATACCTCCAAAAAAAAATACTAGCGAAACCTAATAAAATTTATAATTTTTAAGTAATAAATAAAATCTTACTCATTTATAAAACATATGAATTTATCACAATCGTCACCATTCAACCTAATAATACAATATAATTATAAATTCAATCACTTATTATTTTTTTTATTGGTGATTAGCATGACTTTTGATTTTTTTTAATTTTTTGGTGCAATTGTATCACTTATTTTTTTTTATTGATTATTAGCATGGCTTTGAATTTTTTTTGTTTTTTTTTTTTGTGGACTTGGTTTCACTTGTTTTTTATTTTATTTTATTGGTGATTACTTGGCTTTGAATTTTTTAATTTTTTTGGTGCAATTGATTTCACTTATTTTTTTATTGGTGATTGATTAGCTTAGAGACTTTGGATATTATTAGTAAATTATACTCAGATCCTTTGAAATTTGTAAACGTATAACACTTTGACCTCTCAAATTTAAAATATTACACTTAGACCCCTTATTAGTTACGAAATTAACAAAATCTATTAAACAACCAAATTACCTCAATTAAAGATAAAAGATATTGCACAATTATAGTTTAATCCCTTATTTGGTTTTTAAATTTTATTCCAATAGAAAATATAATTGTATGTAAATGAGTGTTAAATTAAGTTCTTTGATTTATTTATACTGATTACTATTTTTTTCTCAAAAAAATTGAAATTTTGTTTAGTTTTTATGTCAATGGTTGACATAATGTAACATGCAAAAGTGTTAAGCAGACTTATTTTATATGTTTGTACTTGATAATAAAATAATTGATCCAATGTGACAAGTCCATTTAATCCAAAAATGGTCCAGGTATGCCACTCTTAGTTTCTAAATATAGTTTATACTTTTAAATCACTTACTAACTTATGTATCAGAGAGTCAACCCACAGAGGTCCCCTCTAGCCTCCAATTTCTTTTCCAGTTGATCGAAGTCCAACAAATTGACGTAGAGATAATCCAAAATTTGGCATCAACAGTACTAATTATAATTTTTTTAAGAAAAAATTAATTTTTGATTTTTGATTTTATTTCAATAAAGAACATAATAGAACTTGAATTTTAGTTATAAAATTTAAAACATTTGATATCCTATATTTAATTAGAATATTTTTTGTCTAAATATAATATTTTAAATTTGAGGGAGTTAAGTATTATATGCTTCAAATTTTAGATGTTTAGATATAATTTACTAATAGATATATAACGAATATTAATAATAAGAGTCTACGTGTCATGTGGATACAAACCTTAAGGGTCTGTGTGTATATTTATTAGCAGCATAATCAGTAATTCCAAGTGCCGTCTAACCGTTAACCCAATCCCTCTATGCCAATCTACATTCTTTAACTCTCATGGCTCTCTCCCTCTCTCTGATATGGCAATGGCGTCAACAAACTCATAGAAAATAGATAGATGACTCCCCTCACGGCGGAGCCAGATAACTTTTTATGTGGGGACAATTTTAAACATATAAATATTTAACTCTAATTATTGACATTGTTTTCACCAAAACATTGTTTCATTAAAAGAACATTAATTAAATACAACCTTTATATATGAGAGAAATACAAAAAAATCAACAAAAAAAAAATATTATGAAGTTATTATCTATAGAATCTGACAAAAACTTTTTATCAATAGTTGATTAAAAAATTAGTCAGATATAACTTAGTATGCATTATTCATGCAGAATACATCAAAATAGTTTAAAAAAATCAAATCTGTCACAAGTCAATTAAATCAATCTAGGGTCAAAAAAAAAATAACTAAATCAGGTCAAATTTTTTTTAGCTAAATCAATCTTAGATATAGGAATAACTTAATTCATTACAATCAATTTACTCAAGCCTAATCAATCGAAATGATTTAATCCAAAAAATAATTTATAACATATAAATTCCAAACATAAAAATCCAATTATTTGAAAACCCTAATCAATAGACCAAAAATTAAAAACATATAATAATGATCGAAATCAAAGAAATCCTTCATTGTTTACCTTCTGATAAGCCAGCTTTGAAAGAATCCCCTAAACTTCCTTCCTTTTAAGTTGTCTTTCCAATAGATCTTGACAATAATAATTGAAGTAAAAAATAGAGAGGTACTACTAAAGAGTAAAAAACTGAAGGGAACGAATTTTCAGAGTGCAGAGCTAGAACAAAGAGAGAGCCTAAGGATCCACGGACGTTGAACAGAGAAAGATCACAAAGGCGACGGACGAAGTTTTGGCCGGAACAAAGAAAACAGGGACCTGTGCCCTGATAAAGTAACTTTTTACTTTTGCTAACGTTTAAAGGAACCCACATGTTTGAAAATATACATTACTACCCTTAAGTTTAAAAGATTTTCAGTGGGAGCAATCTTTAACAAATTCTAAAACTTCAAAAAATTTCAACTACACCCCAATATTGTTTTCAAATTCCAGTGGGGCAGCTGCCCCCATTGCAAATCCCCCCTGACTCGCCTTCAACTTTGGTCGCTGCTTCTCTCTATCAGTTACAATTCTTGAGATTGCCACCTAAAGATACTGTAAGGGGTAAAACCCTCTACTAAGGATTTTGGCTTGACCTGAGTTAATCCACGCGGGCGACCCCCCAATAGCCTTTATCTCTCAATGCCCGCAAGAGCTTCGTCCCACATCGACTGAGAGTTATCTCCCCCCCTCGCATATAAGCCCTTGCACTTAAAGGAGGAGGTACCCACTAGCGACCTGATCAGGTCAAGCCGAAATCTTTAGTAGAGGGTTCTCTACTAAGGATTTTGGCTTGACCTGGGTTAACCCAAGCGGGCGACCCCCAGTAGTCTTTACCTCTCAGTACCCACAAGAGTTTCACCCCACATCGACTGAGAGTCGTCTCACCCCCTCGCATATAAGCCCTTGCACTTAAAGGATGAGGTACCCACTAGCGACCTTTCTGTAAGGGGTAGAACCCTCTACTAAGGATTTCGACTTGACCTGAGTTAACCCACGCGGGCGACCCCCCAGTAGCCTTTACCTCTCAGTGCCCGCAAGAGCTTCGTCCCACATCGACTAAGAGTCGTCTCCCCCTCCCTCGCATATAAGCC